GGGCAGATCACGAGGTCAGGAGATCGAGACCATCCTGGCTAACACAGTGAAACCCTGTCTCTACTAAAAAATACAAAAAACTAGCTGGGCGAGATGGCGGGCGCCTGTAGTCCCAGCTACTCTGGAGGCTGTGGCAGGAGAATGGCGTAAACCCGGGAGGTGGAGCTTGGAGTGAGTTGAGATCCGGCCACTGCACTCCAGCCTGGGCCACAGAGCGAGACTCTGTCTCAAAAATAAAAAAATAAACAAAAAAAAATAAATAAAGGGAAGAGACTGAGGGTCCAGAATTGTACCTCGTCAGTTTCTGAGATTCCTGTGAGCTCTCTAAGTGCATAAATCAATGTGGGAATCATTAACAAATAAATGGTATGAGAAAGCAAAGGAATGGATGAGACCACCCAGGAAAAGAGTACAGAGAGAGAAGAGAAATAAAGAGGAGAGAGTTAAAGAGACCAGAAGAGGCCAGGCATGGTGGCTCAGCCAGTAATTCCAGCACTTTGGGAGGCAGAGGTGGGCAGATCACGAATTCAAGAGATCGAGATCATCCTGACCAACATGGTGAAAACCTGTCTCTACTAAAAATGCAAAAATCAGCTGGGTGTGGTGGCACATGCCTGTAATCCCAGCTACTCAGGAGGCTGAGGCAGGAGAATTGCCTGAACCCGGGAGGCGGAGGTTGCACTGAGCCGAGATCGCGCCACTGCACTCCAGCCTGGGCAAAAAGAGCAAAACTCCATCTCAAAAAAATTTTTCAAATAAAAAAATAAAGAGACCAGAATAGAAGAGAGCCCAGGACTGAGTCCTGAGGAAACAGCACAGAGATCAGAGAGAGGAAGAGACTCTGAAATAGGGAAACTGGAAGAAATGGCCAGAGAGAGGAGAAAACCAAGAGGGTCAATGTCACTGTGATTGAGAGAGAATATTTCCAGAGGATGACTTTGGTCAGCCAGCCAAGTGCTTCTGACACCGTCGCTCCACACAGAGGCCGTTGATTTGATGGGGACATGGAGCTGATTCAAGAACGAATGAGAGGCAGTGACAGTGGGTGTGAGAAGACAGCTTGTGGAGGGCTGGCTAGCTTCTCCTCACTTTGTAGCCACATCCACTATGAACTTATCCCATCTCTTCTTCCAGATTTCCATGAAAGTATTTTTCTCCGTCTCCAACAGGGTGCTGTACCTGCAGGAAGAGGAGAGGCCCAGGTCAGCCTCAGGGCAGGGGCTAGAGACCCGGGCAGGGAGCCTGAGGGGACATTAGAGCCTTGCAGAGCACCCTCCCCAGGCCAGCAGCAAGGACTAAACAGCCATGATGAGAAGGAACCCACAGGAACCGTCAAGGCATCTGTCTCAAGCCTCCAGAGAGGCAAACACAAGCTGCAGGCTGGAAGGAGGCGGGCCTGGGAGGACACGGGACACTCACCTGATAGAGTTCATGGCCAGCTGTTTGAGGGTCCGCAGGTCAGCCTTCATCCCCCCAATGCCCATGAAGGCTTCATAGAAATCGTACGACAAGCCTTTGGCACCAAACATGGCTGGGTCATCAGAGCTGATTACCATGGGGTGCCCAATGGCCATCAGAGCGGCTACAGGGTGGTTCCTCAAGTCAGACACCAGTTTTAGCACCTGCCCAATAGAAGGCAAGGGAGAAAGATGAGCTCTGATCCCTGAAAAGAGTAGTCACAAGTGAGGTGAGACCTTGAGCCCCATCAGCTCCCTTTGTCTTCCCATCACTATCTCCCCAGTATGGGGATGACTTTTGGGCAGAGTCACAAGGAGACACAAGGAACACAGCCAGTCCTCATGCCTCTCCTCTGGTCCTGCTCAGAGAAGCGCTAACTGAACACAGACACAGAGGACCCCAAGAAACCGTGGGAAGCAGCATCCCATGGCCCATCCCACATCACTGGCCTCCCCCCATGTCCTTTTGCTTTGTCTACAGTTTTGCCCAAAATCCCACTCCGCTGGGAACCCTCCCTGCTGTCTCATTCTTATTGGTGGCTTAGGCAAAAGGCCCCTCCTGAATAACTTTACCAACAGGGGTGGGAGAGTGAAGGGATGTAGGTAACAAGAGACTTAAGGAAAGAGAAGTTATACGGGGAAAAGTTTGAGACAGCAGAGGTAGTGGTTAGGGGAGATCATATGGGATTAGCCGCATGGGTCACACGTACCTGGTTAGAGATGGGACAGACTTCTATGGGGATGTCCTTTTCCCAGGAGTAAGCCCTGGCTGCGGGGTGTTTACTCAAAGCAAATCCATGGCCGATTCTGGTAGTGTTCAGCATCAGAGCATCCAGAATGTTCTTGTCTATGGAAGTGCCCTGCCAATCTGAAGACAGGTGAATGGTCTTCCATGGGGGATGGATGGGTCTGACCCACCCGCCCCCACCGACCGTCCTCAAATAAACAGCCCCCCAAGCACAAAAATGAAGAAAAATTAACACAAATACACACACCATTTCCTTTTAACAATGCTAAAGAGAGATATGATATGGCTTTATTAAATTAATCATCTAATTTATTAATTTACCATTCTAATAAGAAAGTTGAAACTTAATAGCTTTTATAAATTGACCAAAGAAGTTCACATAGTAAATAGCAAACCCGAGGGGTTTTTTTTGTTTTTTTTTTGAAACGGAGTCTCACTTTGTCGCCCAGGCTGGAGTGCAGTGGCACGATCTCGGCTCACTGCAAGCTCTGCCTCCCGGGTTCATGCCATTCTCCTGCCTCAGCCTCCTGAGTAGCTGGGACTACGGGCACCTGCCACCATGCCCAGCTAAGTTTTTGTATTTTTAGTAGAGATGGGGTTTCACCATGTTAACCAGGATGGTCTCGATCTCCTGACCTCATGATCCGCCCACCTCGGCCTCCCAGAGTGCTGGGATTACAGGCATGAGCCACCGCACCTGGTCACAAAACTGAGTTTTAAACCTTGGTCTCTCTGACCCCACAGTCCGCTTTCCTTCTTCCTCTTTTGTGGGACTTTTTTTTTTTTTTCCAAGATGGAGTCTTGCTCTGTTGCCCAGGCTGGAGTGCAATGGTGCGATCTCGGCTCACTGCAACCTCCGCCTCTGGGATTCAAGCGGATTCTCCTGCCTCAGCCTCCTGAGTAGCTGGGATTACAGGTGCCCACCACCACACCCGGCTATTTTTTGTATTTTTAGTAAAGACAGGGTTTCACCATGTTGGCCAGGCTGGTCTCAAACTCCTGACCTCAGGTAATCCACCCGCCTGGGCCGCCCAAAGTGCTGTGATTACAGGCGTGAGCCACCGCACCTGGCTCTGGGACTCTTACGCTTATACTCTTTACAACAATGAGTTACAGATTCTCTTATTTACAACATCAGTATAACTACCTGTATGTGCTCACTTTAATTTATATATGTAATAGTACTGTCAAGATGTTATCACTTGCTAGGTGACTGCAGACATTCTTGTGGCCTCCCTTCTCCCCTGACATCCCCATCACACCTTTCTTGCAGCTAGGGCCCTCGGTAGAGGATGAAAGGTCAGATGTGCCTTTCTCAGTCTCCTTTACAGCTAAAATAGCCTTAACGCTGGCCTGGGAGGGGAGCTTTGGGGGATTCCTCCCTGATAAAAGGAGATCCACTGGGAGGCTGTCTCCTATTTTGCTTCACTAGATGTAGTCACCCCAAAAGTGATTTACCATCTGACAGCCAAGTGGGGCAGAGTCACCCACACAATGGGCGTAGCAGAGATTGCTTCTCATATGAGATAACAAATGTCCTTATTGTAAAATTTGTGGGATGCATGTACTCTGTTCTTGCAGCCATAAGCATTCTAATGGATCCACATATAAAATATGAACATCCGGCTGGGTGTGGTGGCTCACACCTGTAATCCCAGCACTTTGGGAGGCTGAGGCAGGAGGATCGCTTGAGCCCAGGAGTTTAAGGCCAGCCCTGGGCAACATAGAGACACCCTGTCTCTACAAAAAAATACAAAAATTAGCCAGGCATGGTGGCATATACCTGCAGTCCCAGCTACTTGGGAGGCTGAGGTGGAAGGATAACCTGAACCCAGGAGGTGGAGGCTGTAGTGAGCTGTGATCATGCCACTGCACTCTAGCTTGGGTGACAGAGTGAGAGCCCACGTCAAAAAATATGTATATATGAAAACTCCACTTTTCTGATAGAAATAAAACTCAAGAATTTTCATTCGTACCTAGCACATGTATTTTGGTGGATTGTCATTGGTTTTTAAAGATTTCCTCTTCTTTTTAAAAATAAGGACACTACTTTTAGGTAATAGATACCCAAGTCCTGGCAAAATCATCTCCAAGGAACATACATCTTGGAACTTGTTAGGTCCTGTGCTGCAATGTTTTGTACTGCCAGAATTATTTCACACATAAGTACGATTTTCCCCAACCAGACCACACACTCTTCAAGGTTAACAACACCCTCACCCAACCCCCTCCCCCTCAAACAATTCTTCTGCTCTCCTAGAGCAGACTTTGATCTAAATTGGATCTAAATTGACTTGAAATGTCAGGAAAAAGAGATTAATGCACAAGGTCCCTTCCTCTGAGAGATGGTGTGATAAAGCAGAGCTTAAGCCTGGGCGGGAAATGAAGCTGCCCACCACTCTCTCCACCCCTCCTTGGTCTTCTGAGGGTGACAGGTGGGATGCTGCAGGGAGCTGCCCTCCTGGTTCCGGCCTCCATGGGAACAGCCTCCTCCCAAATCTTCCTTTGGATCTGAAATTGCAGCCATGATCTTGCTTAGTTAGGGTTTCCACATTTTAAGGACTGGAATACGGGAGGGGCTGAGATGACTGAGCGAGCCCAAGGAAGGAGTTCTGGGGAAGAAAGATGTGGCTGGGCTAATGGCATTTCAGGAGGAACAGCAGCCAGGGCCTGCATGCGGCAGGGCAGGGTTTCCTCTCCTACGATAATGAGGGACGGAACATCCTAAAGACAAGGAGCAGAACTGGTTCTCCTCCCTCTTCCGCCAATTTCCGGCTGCGTGGCTTTAGGCAGATCAGTTAACCTCTCTCAAGCACAATTCACTTGGAGGATGGAGAGCGTCAGAAAAGGTTCCAATTCATACACATTATATACATGCGTCAAAATATCACATGAGGCCGGGTAATCCCAGCACTTTGGGAGGCCGAGGCAGGCAGATTGTTTGAGGTCGGGAGTTCAAGACCAGCCTGGTCAACATGGTGAAACCCCATCTCTACTAAAAATACAAAAATTAGCCAGGTGTGGTAGCAGGTGCCTGTACTCCCAGCTACTCCGGAGGCTGAGGCACAAGAATCACTCGAACCCGGCAGCCAGAGGTTGCAGTAAGCCAAGATGGCACCACTGCACTCCAGCCTGGGCAATACAGCGAGACTCAGTCTCAAAAGAATTTTTTTCCATGACTCACGCCTGTAATCCCAGCACTTTGGGAGGCCGAGGTGGGTGGATCACTTGAGGTCAGGAGTTCAAGACCAGCCTGACCAACATGTTGAAACCCCATCTCTACCCATCTCCACTAATAATAAAAAAGTTAGCCAGGCATGGTGGTGCGTAAAACACATTTTTATAGCCAAAGTAGGATGATGTGAGTTTGCAGGATTATGCCTGCGCCATGAAAAATTTAAAAAAAAAAAAAAAAAAAAGAGAAGAAGGATTCAAATTCAGACTCCACCACATACCAGCTCTTTAACCCTGGACCACTAACACTGTGTTTGGAGCCTTGCGCTCTTCATCTATCATATGGAGATTAAAACACGAGCAGGACTGGGGAAACAATTAGAAATAAATTAGAAAAAGCCGGGCGTGGTAGCTCACACTTGTAAACTCCAGCACTTTGGGAGGCCGAGGCGTGCAGACCACTAGGTTAGGAGATCGAGGCCATCCTGGCTAACACGGTGAAACCCCACCCCTACTGAAAATACAAAAAATTAGCCAGGCATGGTGGTGGGCGCCTGTAGTCCCAGCTACTCCGGAGGCTGAGGCATGAGAATCTTTTATTTTTTATTTTTTATTTGAGACGGAGTCTTGCTCTGTTGCCCAGGCTGGAGTGCAGTGGCGAGATCTTGGCTCACTGCCAGCTCCGCCTCCCGGGTTCAGGCCATTCTCCTGCCTCAGCCTCCCAAGTAGCTGGGACTACAGGCGCCCAGACCATGCCTGACTAATTTTTTTGTATTGTTAGTAGAGATGGGGTTTCACCATGTTAGCCCGGATGGTCTAGATCTCCTGACCTCGTGATCCGCCTGCCTCAGCCTCCCAAACTGCTGGGATTACAGGTGTGAGCCACCGCGCCCAGCCAGAGAATCCCTTGAACCTGGGAGGCAGAGGTTGCAGTGAGCTGAGATGGTGCCACTGCACTCCAGCCTGGACTACAAAGCGAGACTCCATCAAAAAAAGGAAGGAAGGAAGGAAGGAAGAATACATGTAAAGTGGCTGATTCTATTATCCTGTTATTCCTTCTCCATGGGGCTGTTGTCAGTATTAAATGAGATAGAGCACAGAAAAGGGCTCTGGAAACGCCTATAGGCTCTAACCCTGAGGCATGGGCACTGCTGTCCTGTCTCCTGGCAGCAGGCTGGAGTCCTGCCCAGGGGCACTCCCACTGACCACCTCCACTGGCCCTGCGCTTGCATCCCGCAGGCTCACCTGTCTCTCCGGCGTGGAAGAAGAAAGGCAGCTTAACGCCATCCCTGGCGGGGATCATCAGAGCTTCCTTGTAGTAGTGCAAGGAGTGGCCAGTGTCCTCATGCCCCACCTGCAGGACAGAGAGGGACAGGGAGGCGTCTGCAGGGCGCGTGCCTCACTTGCTGATGGCGCGCCCTGCAGCCTGTGCACACCCTTCCTTGTACCCTGCCGCCACTGCCGAGACCTTTGTCTCGCGGCCTTTTAAGTATGACCAGGAGCAGGCCAGGCGCGGTGGCTCACGCCTGTAATCCCAGCACTTTCGGAGGCCGAGGCAGGCGGATCACGAGGTCAGGAGATCGAGACCATCCTGGCTAACACGGTGAAACCCCATCTCTACTAAAAATACAAAAAATTAGCCAGGCGAGGTGACGGGCGCCTGTTGTCCCAGCTACTCGGGAGGCTGAGGCAGGAGAATGGCGTGAACCCGGGAGGCGGAGTTTGCAGTGAGCCAAGATCCAGCCACTTCTCTCCAGCCTGGGCGACAGAGCGAGACTCCGTCTCAAAAAATTTAAAAAAAAAAAAAAAAAAAAAAAAAGACCAGGAGCAGAGTTGAGAAAGAAAAGAGAGCTCATTTGTTCCCTGAAATAGTTCCTCTCATTTTCAGAGGCTGTCTCTTATATCCCCCAAGCCCCTTCCACCCTGGCTCCTCACAGCACCTCCCAGGTCCAGGTGCTTCAGCCCTGAGCTCCTGAGGTGGGCGGGGAAGAAGGACTACGGGTGTACCACCATGCTTGGCTTATTTCCTTTTAATATTTTGTAGAGGTCGGGTGCAGTGGCTCACATCTGTAATCCCAGCACTTTGGGAGGCCAAAGTGAGTGGATCACCTGAGGTCAGGAGTTTAAGACCAGCCGGGCCAGCGTGGTGAAACGCTATCTCTACTAAAAATACAAAAAATTAGCCGGGCATGGTGGCAGGTGCCTGTAGTCCCAGCTACTCAGGAGGCTTAGGCAGGAGAATCGCTTGAACCGGGAGGTGGAGGTTGCAGTGAGCTGAGATCACACCAATGCACTACAGCCTGGGTAACAAGAGCAAGAAAAAAAAAAATATATATATATA